GCTTGTGTGGTTTTGGACAGACGCGTCATGGCCTGTATATACCATTTCACTGTTACACAGAGTAGTTTCACTGCCCTGAAAATCATCTGTGCTTCATCTCTTCACTCCCTTTTACCTCTACCCCATGCAACTATTAATCTTATTGCCGTCTCCATAGTTTGCTTTATCCAAAATATAACCAGAATGATGCAGTGAGGATCCCTTTCAGATTGGGTTCTTTCACATAGTAATATGTGTTTGTTTTCTGTGTCTTTTCATGGATCGAGAGCTTATTCCTTATTGGTGCTGAATAATATTTTATTTCTTGAACATACCACAGTTTCTTAGTCACCTACTGAAGGACACTTGATGGCCCTTAAATTTTGACAGTAATAAATAAATTTGCTATAAACACCTGTGTTTTCAGCTCATTTAAGTAAATACTAAGGAAAAGGATAGTAGGACCATAAAGAGAGGATATAGAGATTTGTAAGAACCCACCAAGCTCTCAGTTCCTAAGTGGCTATAACGTACTGAGTTCCCATCAGCGGGGAAGGAAGGCTCCCATATCTCTGTCCTTGCTAGCAGCATCCCATGTTGACAGTGTTGTGGATTTTCAGCCATTTTCATAGGAGTACAGTGGTACCTCGTTGCTCTGATTTGCACCTCTCTGATGACGTGTGGAGCACCCTTTCATAATGCTATCTGCGTGTCTTCCTTGATGAGGTATCTGGTAACATCCTTGGCCCATTTTAAAGTCAGATTTTTTGTTTGTATATGAACCCTTAAAGGGTTCTTCATATATTTTTTATTAGATTTATATTGAAATATTCCCTTTTGGGGGATGCAAATGTAAATGATATAGTGTTTTCAATTTCAAATTCTATCTGTTCATGCAGGTATATAGGGAACAAGTGAAAATGTATATTAACTTTTTATATCCTGCAACCTTACTATAATGGCTTATTAGTTCTAAGAGAGTTTTGGGCCATTCTTTTGGATCGTATCATCTGTTGAACAGCACAGTTTTATAACTTCCTACCAAATCTGTATATCTTTTATGTCCTTTGCTTTTCTTATTACATAGGTAGGACTTCCTGTATGATATTGAAAAGGCATAGTGAGAGATGACATTCTTGACTTGTTTTGATATTTGTGGGAAAGCTCTGGGTTTCTTACCATTTAGTATAATGTTAGCACTGGAGTTTTGTAGATGACCTGTAAGTTGAAGAAATTCTCTTCTATTACTAGTTCAGTGAGTTTTTAATCATACATGAGTGTTGAATTTTATCAAATGCCTCCCTGCACCATTTAATAAGATGTGACTGTTTTCTTCTTTATCTCATTGATATGATAACTTATGTTAATTCATTTTAAGATCTTGAACTAACCCTCATAACTGGGATAAATCCAAATCTGTTATTATTTGTTATTTCTTTTGTTGAGAATTTTTGCACCTGATTTTATTAAAGATATTGGTCTTCTTTTCTATAATGTCTTCATCTAATTTTAGTATTAAAGTGCAGGCTTTATAGAATGGTAGAGAAAATACTCTCTTGACTTTTATCTTTGGAGAGAGATTATGCAGAATTGGCGTTGTTCTATATTATGAGTAGTGAATCCATCTGGGCCTGGTACTTTCTCGTTTCTTTCTCTTTTTAGTTGGCTTGGCTTATCAATTTTATTGATTTTTTTCAAAGAATCAGCTTTACATTACTTTGATTTTGTAATTTATTGACTATTCACTTTTAATATCAATTTTCCCTCTACTTTTTATTGTTTCTTTACTTCTCTGTACTTTGGATAACTTGCTGTACGTTTTCTGTTTTTTCAAACTAAAGCTTAGATAATTGATGTTAAGTCTTTCTTTTCTAATATATGCATTCAATACCATAAATTTCCCTCTATATAATACATTTGGTGCTTTCCACAAAGTTTGATGTTATTCTTTTATTTTCATTTAGTTCAAAATATGTTAAATTTTGCTTCACAATTTTCTGACCTATGTGTTATTTAGAAGTATATTGCTTAATGTCCAAGTATTTTGGATTTTTTGTTATCTTTTGATACTAACTTTTAATATATTTTGCTGTAGTCTGAGGACAGATATTGTATGATTTCTATTCTTTTAAATTTTTTAAGGTGATTTATGGCCCAGAACGTTGGTGAATGTTTTATGTGAGCTTGATAACAATGTTTTCTGCTACTGTTTGGCGAAGTGGTCTAGCAATGTTTATTAAATTAATTGGTGATGTTGCTGAGTCTAACTGTCTTTACTGACTTTTCGCTTCCTGGATGTGTCCATTTCTGATAGAAGATTCTGAAATCTCCAGATATAAGAGTGGATTCATCCATTTCTCCCTGCAGTTTTATCAGTTGTTGCCTCAGGTATTTTGGTGCTCTTGTTATTAAGCTCATGTATGTTAAGCATTGTTTCATATTCTTGGAGAATTGATCCTTTGATTAGTATATAATATTCTTCTTCGTCCCTGACAACTTTCCTTGCCATGACGTATGCTATGCCTGAAATTAATATGGTCATTTCTGCTTTTTGGTTTTGTTTTGTTTTTGTTTTGCTTTTGATGCTAGGGATGAACCCAGGGTGTAACACATACCAAGCATGTGCTCTACCACTGAGTTCCATCCCCAGCGCTTTTCCCACTTTTTTGTTAGTGTTGACACAGTATATCTCACTCTATACATTTACTTTCTTCCAGGTGTTCTTATATTTAAAGTAGGTTCTTTGTAGAAAGCATCTTAGTTTTGAATCTGATAGTCTTTGCCTTTTAATTGATTCTAGTCCATTGCTGTTTAATGTGACTATTGCTGTAACTGAATTGCCAACTATTTGTTAACTGCTTTCTACTTGTTATTCTTGTCTTTTGTTACTTTTTTCACAGTCCCTTCTTTTTTTCCCCTTTCTGATTGGGCATTTATATAATTTCTTTTTCTTTCCTCCCAGCATATCAATTGTACTTCTTTTTTGTCCTATTTTAATTTTGCCTTAGAACTTGCATATACACATAAAAATAATTGAAATCCACTTTCAAGTAACACTGTACCACCTCACAGGTGGTATGACTACTTTGTGAAAACAAAATAATCCATTTTTTCCCTCTGGTCTTTTGTATCACTGCTGTTGTTCATTTTGTATGCAAATAAATATTTAATTAAACCTAAGTGCATGTATTATTGCTGTAATTATTTTGAACAGTTATCTATTAGATCAATTAAGAATAAGAAAAAGTTTTCATTTTACTTTTCCTCATTTCTTCCACATTCTATTTTTCATCCTGAAGATCTACGTTTCTGACCTATATTGTCTTCTGTCTCTCTAAAGAATGTTTTTAGACAAATTTACCTTTTTCATTAGAGCCTTTTGCAGTTAATCATAGTTGTTTAAAATTTCTTATCTTATTATTTCAGTATCCCTGATATCTCTGAATCTGATGCTTGTTCAGCCTCTTCATGCCTTTTTTTTTAATCTATTGAGATGTCTTGTAACTTTTTTTCTCGATAGCTAGACTAATGCTGGGTACAAGGAACTGCCATAAATTAGAACCGCTCATGGTAATGTAATGGTCAAGTGTCAGGGTAGACAGAGTAAGTGTTCTCCAGCCACATGATTACTTCTCTTTCAGCGACCCCGTGACTCTGAGCTGTGAACATCAGGTGTGCACTTCATGTGAGACACCCTTTATATGGGACAGGAGGGTGAAAGTTCCTGGAGTTGGGTATTTCCTCCTATACTTGGAAAGCCCGAGCTGGCTAGAGTTGGGTATTTCCCTTCCCCAACGCAGTTAGCCTCTGATAGGACCCTTTCATGTTGGGCTTTGGTTAATTTCTCTTGAGCCAGACTTTGTTAGAACAGACTATTCTGATGTATTTCAAAATGTTCTTGGTATGTCTGACAATAATCAGTTTCCTAATTATTAGGGTTTATTCCTAGACTCTCAATTCTACTGTCTTATTGATCTGTCTATCAGTATGCCAGTATCACACCATCTTGGCTATTACAGTTTCACCTAAATTTTCAAATCAGAAATTGGGAGTCTTCCAAATTGAATTTTTTTTCAAATTTTTTTTTCTGTTTTGGCCATTCTAGGTTTCTTGAATTTTCAAATGAATTTCAGGATAAGTTTAATCAATATCTTCAAAATATAGCTAGAATTGTAATGGTTTTATTTCATCTTATAAGTAACTGTAGCATGACCTTAAGCAAAAATATTCCGATTCATTTTTGTTTTTCTCTTTTCTTTTGAAAGGCTAGTGAGATTCCCACCTTCTCAAGGTGCTCCAAGATTATTTAAATGCTGCCATCGTTGCCGTTTGTTTTATTATGAAATCTTTCAATAAATTAGAGTTCTTCCTCATATTTGCTGTTAGAAAACAATAATAGAAAATTTGTTTTTCTTGTTTGTGATTACCAAAAAATAATTTTCCTTTAACTTCCTTGATGAAACTAAGTTAAGGGTCTTGAGAAGTCTTCTAATGACAGACCACGTACATTGTCGTTTGTGTACTAGAAAAACTGACCCACGGAACTGTTAGGTTGAGTAACAGAATTTGCCTACAGCTCTGTATCTACAACAGTATAATTTTAGAATCTTATTATAATGAAATTGAGTGAAGATATCTTACTTATTATTCTTCTAACAACAGAATTGTTCTCTAATTTACCTTAGTAATATTTTCAAATGTGAGTAGTTACCAATTACAGTAATCAGAATATGACACATGACTTGATGGAAATAAAAAGGATGAAATAAAATTTCCAGAAATTAGCATAGACTAGAGAGAATATCTGGGGCACTGAGGCACTGAGTAAATATTGGCTGAATGAGAGAACCAAGGAAAGGAAGCCCCTACATGAATCACTGCTTTAAAAACCATGCCCCTACCTCAGGGATGATTCTAGCTAATCCCTCAATTCAAAAGGATAAACCCTGCTTTCAGGTTAGATTGTTTTTCAGTGTTTTCAATCTCTTAAAGGATAACTTGAGAGTTTCACATTTTTACAGTGTTTATGTCATGGTTGGTGCCGATGTCCCATTTTCTTCTTGTTTACGAGAAGTTGAAAATCCTCAGAATCAATTGAGATGCAGCCAAGAAATGGAGCCAGTAATAACCTGTGATAAAAAGTTTCGTACTCAATTTTACATTGACTGGTGCAAAATTTCACTGGTGAGTTTCTGCTTAATTTTGTTTTTGCAAATGTAATTTGCCATGGTGTGGTGGGACAGAATGTTGTACTGAAACCTGAATTGCTTTTAGGGAAACAGCCCCGATTTACTTTGTTAACTACAGTGGACTTCCTTGACTTTGCATCCATTTAGGAAAGAGTATTTCTACCTTTGTACTCACTCTGCCCTGGATTAGTGGCTGGGGTTGGATTAGCTTAGTAGGTGGTCCAGACGAGCCTGTTGGACACACAGGTGCTGTTAAATCAGCACAGATGAGGAATCAGTGTGGTCTGTGCAGAAAGCCTCTGCTGAAATGTGCAGCCAGTCTCTCACTTTAGAAGGGGAGAATGGAGAACAATAATGCATCTCAATATAAACCACAAATTTCCTGCAAACGTAACTTGTGGGCAAAGTTCAAGGGATAAGAACTAATTCCTAGAGGGATATTAATGTCTTGTAGCCTTAAGAATAAATTCATAGGCATTACACTTTTTTCTAAGCCGCTTTTTAATTTGTATGCTAAAAGGGAGAGGAAAACGTGAGATTTCATATATAGGTGAGATAGATGTGTATAATATTTTTAAATATTTACATTTAATATTTTAAGTACATATCCCTGATATACTTTGATATTGATACCTGAAAAATAGGAAAGTTGTTTTAATTTTGTAGTAACCTTTAGATTTAACTTCAGTCAACTTTCTGTGATTGGTAGTGAGTGCATGAGATCTAAGTTTAAGGTTGACATTTGAACAAAGTTATTGACACATAAACACAACTGTCACTGCATGTCTTCTAGCCAACTGTAGGCAGCTTTCCAGGATCCAGTTTTGGAAAGCACTGTATTCAGGCTGCACCACTTGGCACCGCTGTGGCCTTGTGCCCTGTCCTTTGCATCTTTGAAAAATAGTGCCCTTTCTTTGTCTCTTGAAATAAAATAAAATTATTCTGTTATTCTGTATGTGCATTATAGTTGAATGTCTAACGCTCATGATTTCAGTTATGGTGCTAATCTTACAAGGGTGGGAAAGAGCAGCAGTGATTATGGTTTAAATCGAATCCTCTATTTAGGCGACTTGGAATCAGGAGGTGGTAGGCCTGACCTGCACCATTTCACTTGAGCTTGTACAGTACCATGCATTTATATTTGAGAATGCTATCTAACTTCTAGCAGTTTAAAATGACTTATGCTTTGAAGGTTTTAGTTTTTGTTGTAAGACTTTATAAATGCAAAAGCTGGAAATTTGCATTTTAAAATTTCACACATACATATGTATGTGCTACATCCTACTACAGAAAATTGCAGGAGACTTAAGGTAGAGTAGCAGAATAAATATTATAAATAAAATATTAAAAATGGAAAATTTGGGGGCCGAGGATTTAGCTCAGTGGTTCTGCCGCCTGCCTCGCAAGCGCAAGGACCCGAGTTTGATCCCCTGTACCAAAAAAAAAAAAAAATTGGGACCGAATCTCTAACCCAAAAAGTGTAACGTCTTTACACCTTCTAATGTCCAGATTGAAAAAAGAAAATTCATCAGTCATTCAGTTCTTAAAAAGACATAGAATATCAATTCCTTGGCAGAAAAGCCAAGATCTTACTGTCATTGAATAATACTTTGGGAGATGATATTGAGTAATGCCGCGCATAACGCTTCCTTGAACGCTTTTGGTGGAAACGTAACAAATTGCACATGACAACAGATGCAACAAATTTACAACCACTAATATAACAAATTTCACATGATAACATTTTTAATGTCCTGTAATAAAAACCTGAGTAGCTAAATGCAACTCGCAAAAGCAATTCGATTTTTCTGTTTCATTTTGTTGTTTTTTGGAGATGAGGTCTCACTATAGAGTCTAGGCTGGCCTTGGACTCATGGCAATCCCCCAGCCTTAGCCTCCCAAATACTGGGATTATAGGTGTGCAGCACCATGCCTGGCTCTGAAAGTAGTTCAGTTAGCTTGGGAGTAAATTGTCACAGTGTGAGTATGCATTTTTTTTTTAATCACAGGGTAGAATTCAGTAAAACTATAGCACTGAGTGGATCCATGCTCTATCAGCTGTCTTTCTAAATATTATTTCTGTCAGTTGGATGGCAGAAAGATGAGGATCAGTACATTTTGAAATTGTCCTTTTTTTGTCTTCTCTTTTTCCACTTTCACTACCTTTAGTAACTATACCACCACACCTGTTTATCAGCCAGTCTGTGGCTTGTTAACATCATACTAGAGGTTTATCACTAGGAAATAAGACATTTACATAGCAATATTAAAGACTCCTACTTTGAAAGAAGAAGAAGACAAAAACTACATCTATACCTATATTATGTATGTCCATGTACCTATGTAAAATATCCATAATGTAGGGCGGACATTCATTACCTTTCCCTAGCTCCAATAAATAGTTGCACATTTAAAGTGAGAAAGCAAGCAGAAAAGATGGATCTTTAGGGGACTCTGTCAAAGAATGTTTTGTTGTTTCAAGATCTTAAAATCTCATGATGTTTACAGCTATTAATTTTATGTGTAATTTGTCTTCTCTTGTATCAGGTGGATAAAACAAAGCAAGTGTCCACCTATCAGGAAGTGATCCGAGGAGAGGGGATTTTACCTGATGGTGGAGAGTACAGACCCCCTTCTGATTCTTTGAAAAGCAGAGACTATTATACGGATTTCCTAGTTACCCTGGCTGTGCCCTCGGCAGTAGCACTGGTCCTCTTTCTAATACTTGCTTATATCATGTGCTGCCGACGGGAAGGAGTGTGAGTACTTTCAAACACTAATAAAGAATTAGAGAGCCTGCTAAGATAACAACATGAATGATTCCATTAAAAGCGAAGTTTCATTTAGTTCATAAAACACTCTATAAATAAATTGAAATTGGGTTCAAGTCCAACTGTAGTACTTTATTCCTTTAAAGGAAATTAAAATAATTTTGCGTCTAGTAAATCAAATTAGGGACCATAATTACTTTATTCAAAGATTGTTAAGCCTAGATGTAAATCCATGCTGGTAAAACCATCCCAGAAATAATTCAGGCTAGATACTTGGTTGCACGAGCCATCTTGTGCGAGCAGAGGCTGTGGGATCTATTGACATGGTAATTACACTTTAAATAAGTAAATTGTCCTAGTCAGTTTTACCAGAAGTGACGGTCAGAATTCTTCCTGAAATCATTCTGCTGTCAAACAGGGTGTCACACTATAAATGCTTAAAATATATTAAAAAAATAACTTAGGAGTAAATTAATGAAAATAAGGCATAATTTGAGTAATGAGTCTTTGCTTCATGAATAGAACTTTCAGGACATCGATGTCAGTTAAGGTAATCTCCTGAGATTATCTGGAAGTCAGGGTAATAAAGCAAAGGATAAAAAATTAATAAAGCAGCAAGTAACAAATTCCTCCATTTTTACATGTAGCCTGATTTCATTATGTCATGAAATTTATTTCAGTCAAGAGCTGCTTCGCGAGCTCCATTTTTTTCCATGTTTTGTGTACCTCATCAGTATTCCATGGCGGTATGTGTACTCATCCAAGCAATGCCATCACCCTGGTGGCAGATGCTGCCTGGTTGCGTTTGAAAGTAACAGCATCAGCATTTGCACATCATGCAGTGTCCCGTGAGCATATCGTCTTAATGTTACAAATATCAATGCTATTATTTAATTCATAAATTTTGTTTTGTTTCTAGGGAAAAGAGAAACATGCAAACACCAGAGTAAGTGTCTTCTTTCCTGTTATTTATCATCTTTCCACTTCTCAGTTGCTGCCCATGATGCTCTTTACATGTCTGTCCTGCTTTTTTCTTTTCATTCATCATCTTTCATAGTTTATTTCATAAGTGTGAAAGCTGCTTTCTAAATAGAGTCACGTAGGAGGGGTAGAAACTAAAACTAAAAAGGGTTTGAAAATGAAGCTTACTTAGATAAAAATTAAACCTAAAATATTTCAGGTTCAGAATATTAACTTGCCATTTGTATTATGTGATTTCCCAATCTGCATTTTTATAAACCGGAGAACAGATGAAAAGAACTTTCAGACCAGTTTTCCTGAATCTACAGTAATAACCTACCATTAAATGAAACTTCTGTGAGTATTTATAAAAATGCCCCACAAAAAGCAATGACATAAAAGCATGGTAGTTTTAATCATAGAAAATAAATAGAAAACTAATTTGTCTTAGGGCTGTAATATTAACACAATGCTTCATAGCTTAGTTTAATTTGAGACTTACATACTTCAAAACCAGTTTTGAATTTCCATTTCTGCTATGTTAAAAGTATGGGAGACAGATCTCTTCCTGAGATAGTTTGCAGAATGCCCAAAATGCAATAATGTCTTGTGATTTTAAAGGAAAAGGATTTTACATTTTTTAAAATTGATGGCCCATCAGGGTAATCTGTGATCTTAAGTGTATGTTATTCATTTCTTTTTGGTGTAGCATTCAGCTAGTCCATCACAGTGCCATTCAGAAATCTACCAAGGAGCTCCGAGATATGTCCAAGAACAGAGAGATAGCGTGGCCCCTGTCAACGCTGCCTGTGTTCCACCCGGTGACGGGGGAGATCCTTCCGCCTCTGCATACAGACACCTATGATGGTACCAACATGCCGCTGATGCAGACGCAACAGTAAGTCTCCCCTCAGAGCCAAGATTAGTAGTGTGCGTGCATGATTTTATTCACGTTTGTAAAGATCCAGATCTTGGTTGTTGTTGCCTTTGTTTGCATGTTTATAACTAGAAGAGAAAAAAATCCCTCTAGGTAATTGATAATGTAGCTCCTTACTGCACTGGCCTGACACAAAGACAGTAGAATTACTGTAAGGAAATTCTTTTTTTTTCACTAATCCAGACAAGACCACATTTGTCTCAATATTTAAGAAAGTGACACTGGTAATAAACCACCCTATATGTTTGTTTGGGGACGAGTTAATTGTGAAAAGAGAAACATATCCTAAAGCATGACAAACAAAATTTTTTTGGAGATGTCATCAGAATTACTTGGTTTTGTTAACCTTTTTTAGCTATCACAGATCTGTGTAATAAAATTTTTTTCAGGGAAGAGGGTTTTTAGTTTTTGGTGTGGTCTGCTTGTATATCAAAATGTGCAGTTCCAATTTGGGCTATAAAGATGTATTTTATTGGTGCCACCTTCTCTAATGCTGGAAGACCATGGTTAGACAGCCTGGAGGAGACCTTTGAATGGGTTAGGATAAGGGCAGAAGGTTGAGGAACCTTATATGCCTAAAGCTAACTTGTGATTCATGAAATAGTAGATAAAACTCTTTTACTTTTAAGAACATAGCTCTTTTTTTTTTTTTTTAAGCACTGGAAGTCATAAAGTTACTTTTGAAGTCTTTTTCATTTTCAAAGTAAATAAAATGGCTATGCAGGAAAATTCTCTCTCTCTCTCTCTCTCTTTCTCTCTCTCTCTCTCCTAACACACATACCTTCAATTGCATGCACATACCTTAAAATGTGATATAAAAGTAAATACTGGGCCGGGACTTTAGCTCAGTGGTTCCGCCTCCTCACAAGTGAAAGGTCCTGAATTAGATCCCCAGTACGAAAAAAAAAAAAAAGTAAGTACTGCTTAAAATACTAATCTGGAAGGGCTATGAGTATAGCTTATTGGTGGAACACTTGCATATGCAAGGCCTCAGGCTCAATCCCCAGCACTATAGGAAAAAAAAAAGAGGGGGAACATGCTGGATACAAACCTCTGCCCATTGAGAGTGCTTATTATGTTGTTAGGTAAAATGAATGTGATCTGCTGGGCGTGGTGGCACATGCTGTAATCCCAGCATTAAGGAGGCTGAGGCAAGAGGATCACTGTGAGTTTGAGACCTGCCTGAACTACATAATGAGACCCTGTCTCAAAACAACCAAAATGAATGAATAAAATAAAATGTATGTAGTAATTGGAAAATTAATAATTGAGATGAGTAATACAGGCAATCAGCTTAGACAAATTTCCTGAAATATTTTAGAAATCCAAAAATATTACATTCTCCTAAAGTGTTCTAATATCATTTTCTTAGAATTGCATAGGCCAGAGGGGTGTGTGTGTGTGTGTGTGTGTGTGTGCGTGTTCACGCATGCGCACGCGTGTATAATTCATTCAGAACCTTTCAGTGATAAAGGGAAATTATACATATTTAAGATTTGGGTTTGGAAATATTGTTATATCAAAGATAGAAGTATTTAAGTTTCACGGAGTTTAGTTTAGTGAATGGAAAACGTGGATTTCTGTGCTCTTTGCTCATCAGTGGCCCAACTGTTTTGAGTCATCGTAAGACCCAGGTTATTTAGAAGATGCTCATGTGAAGCCTAAGGAAAAATTTAAGAATATTGTAACAATGCACAATTTAGCAAACCTTCCTTCCTTTTTGAGATGAAAATTATGAGTCAACTTATCATTCACCTTCAACATGAAAAGGAATTTCACTTTAAGACAAGCATCTTTTGTACTGTTTAGTGTACCAGTAAAACTTTATAAGTACTCTTGAAAAGTGAAATAGTCAAATATACATGGAAACCAGGTTTTGTTTGAATGTTTTTTAAGATACAAGAGTTCTTTGGAACATCTTGCATGTTGATATATTTTGTGAATCCCTGAGAAAAGGTCAGAATAGCTAACTTTTCAGAGAACAGAGTTTGAGAAGTGCTTCTATTGACAAGATAACAATGCTATAAAGTTAGAATGCAAAGCCGTTGTGGTGAATAGAAGAATTTGAATGTGTTTGTCAGTAAAACTATTGCTCATGAAGTTTAAGGGAGAGAAAAACCTTTGTCTTTAAGATAGTTCTTTCCAACCATCATATATTGAGAGTAAGAATAGCTCCTGAAAAATTGTTTTGATTCCCTGTGGTTAGCATTTTGTAATGTTGCTACTAATGTATGAACAAAGTAAAAATTTCTTTCTAGTTTACAACCAAATGCATCTTTCTGGCCCTTCCATAGCCCCATCAAATCTGTCATTATGTTGATCAGACCTATTTGCAAATGAACTTGCAACAATTTCAACATATAGGTGTTTTTAAGTCCAGAAAACCTTCCTATTCAGATTCCTGCTAATGGAGAAGCTCCATTAACTAGCACTTCTATAGAATAGGTTACATGGATAATTGATGATGTTCACAGTGATTATTCTGAGGCACTGCAGGATCATCAAGTATGTCTGACTCATCAGAGGAAAATTAAGTTACCTTTGGTGTCATTTCAGTGTTGACTGTATAATACTTTTCTTTTATTCTTGGAAATAGATAATATGTGCATGGTCTCTATGGTAACTCCCTATAAGCCAGAATATGTGATTAACCTCATTTTCCAACCATGCCAGATAATAGGGAATTTATTTTATCAGGTTCATCATTGCTACCCTTTACACAAATTCAGCTTTTACCATTTTCACTATAAAACATAATTTTGTTGGTTTTTTTTTTTAAGTTTTATTTCAGCTCCAAGTAGACACATAAATATTTTTTGGTCTTTTGGATAGAGCTGAACTTTCACATTTAAAATGAGATATTGTAGTTGAGGAGACATTACAATACTTTATTATCAGGTATATACTTGGATAGTGTTGCTTTGTAACTATAATTAACCCTCCCTAAAGGATATGTATTATATGTACTGAGTTTATCATTCATAAATAATTGCCCAGCTGAGGACTTCATGTTTATTCTTCAAACTTGACACCAGAAACATTCAAGCATAAGAATGTGGTTAAACATTTATGTGGGCTTCTACGTAAGACTCGTGAAGGTTCAAAGATTTCTTTCAAAGCTGCATAGAAGTTAGTTTGGTGTTTTAAACAAGTCGATCCACCTCAGAAGTATAGCGGACTTTCAACTGCTGTATAATGAGAGACTGCCACTGTTATCAATTACACTGTCTGTTTTCTTTTTGGGAGAATGCTTCACAGAGCTCCAGACTGGCACCATAAATTATCCAGCTAAAAAAAAAGCTTAATCATTTGTAGATAATAAATTTGAGACACTGATAAGAGACAAAGCTAAATTAGGTCAGCACTGAGATAAGATTATTTACCTACACTGATACCTTCTCAGGGATTGATAGTGCAGTCATTGACCTTACATGCATCTGTGATCCAGTGTACAAGCAAAATAAATACAGAGGCAGTAGAAGGAGAAGCCAGGGTAGAATTGAGAGGCATAGCCCTTACTCCAAAAGGAGGGAAAATTCCTTTTGTACAGTGTTCGTTTTGCTTTTCAAATCATGGATAATATAAACAGGCTGTTAAATTATCACGTAGTCTAAGAATGTAAGGTTAACATAATTTGATCTTTGCTAATGTATTCTTTAATATGCGTTTTTAAATTACGAAATGATTTTAGAGGTACAAGAAATTTACAGAGATAATATGGGGAGTTCTCCAGTACTATTGGCAAGTCCCTCCTATCCAGCAACTTATTGTACCACAGGCTGCATCTGTGGTCACCATGAAGAGTGCAGTGTTGGTCATTACCTAGACTCAGGCTTTTTTTGTTTTTTTAAGATTTCACTTACGTTATTTTATGTTATTTTTCTGTTCTAAGATTCTGTGTAGGACATAAGCATCTTCATGTGCCCCTGGTCTCCTCTGCTTTGAGCAGTTTCCTAGACCTTCCTCACGTGCCATGACCTGGGTAGCACTGAGCAGCTGCAGGCTTCAGTGGATTGTGTGGAAGCTTCCCACTCCCTTACCTAATCACCCTTTCTCCTCTGTACTTATTTGGTCTTTGTAGCTCAGTGAATAAACATTAACATTGATAGTAGGAAGATTTTTTTCCTTCCCTACAGGCGATTCCTTTACTGCAGTTTATTTCTACAAATCATATTTTAGAGTATTCTTAATTGTAAATGGCCTATTCCCAAAGAATCCTTGTTGTGGTTGGGGATTATATTTGTGACCCAAGATTTGACATGGAAAACCCATCATAAATTTGGTAGGTGTGCCTCAGAGTTAAACCTCTGTGATTATTTAATGAAAAACATTCAAATTCTAGAATTTTAAGTAGTAAGGCTGAGAGTGTAATGGAGTTGTTTCCAAGCTGCATTCCTGGTCAGCATCACTGTGGAGCCCACCCAGTGCAGATCCCAATGCCCTGAACATGGGGATTGGGAGAATGGTGGAAGAGCATGTTATAGGAGAGAAAGAAAAATAAGAAACAGTTGAGAATCCCTGATTTAAAGGACTTAACATTTTTTATATATATATAGAGAGAGTCTCACTATGTAGTTGAGACTGACCTGGAACTCGCTATGTAGCCCAGGCTGGTCTCGAACTGACAGTGATCCTCCTGCCTCAGCCTCCGGAGTGCTGGGATTACAGGCATTACAGGCGTATGCCACCACACCCGGCTAGGATTTAACTATTTTTTTTCCCCCCTGGTAAGGGGGATCGAACTCCGGTCCTTATGCTTGCGAGGCAGGCAGCAGAACCACTGAGCTAAATCCCTGGCCCTAGGACTTAACATTTAAAATGGGGAATATCTAAAACATCTGGTATTTCTAATGAGGGGTACACTTTTCCACGCCACCTTAAACTTCTTAAAGATGTGGAGAAGAAATCAGTGCTCCCTGAGCCTGTAGCTCAGTGGCGCCACACCTACCTGGCAAGCCTAA